TACTTACTACTACTACTCTCTCTCTCTCTCTCTCTCTCTCTCTCTCTCTCTCTCTCTCTCTCTCTCTCTCTCTCTCTTCCTCTCTTCCTCTCTTCTCACTTACACGCGACGCGCGTGTGTACCGTGTATACATACATGTATGTACATACAGATGACCCTCGTTTAACTGCAAGCAGATAAGAACGTCAAAGTCACCTGACGCGAAAGTCAGCTGAGAGCGATTGCACATACGACGTGCGACGCGATGTCCGACTGTCCTCTTTGGCGCGTTACATCTTCGTCTTTCGGGAGTAAATGTTTTATACAGGGGAGGGATATCGGAAAGGCCAGAAGGAGAGAGAGAGAAAGAGGGAGAAAACGGATCGCTCTGGAAGCGATTAATGACGTCACAGCTCTGCCTTGGGTTAATTCCCAGTATAACGTGATTCCTAGTACAGCTCGTTTCTACGAAGCGCTTAGGCAAATGCGATTAATTCATCTGTGATAAGCCGCATTGACGCGAGCGCTCGAGCGTGCAAGATATCCCTGGAGACATCTACTGTTTGCTAATCGATTACTCAACGAACTCATTCGTCGAAACGTACAACTTTTGGAGAGAAAAAAGATCATTTTCTCCTAAAAAAGAAAAATCTTTTAAGTAGGAAACAAATTTTTTTCGCTTTCTTATTTCAATGCGTATTTTCATTTCCTGGAATGAAAGAAAAAATTTATCACAGAAACGCCCTTCAATTGAGATCAATTGAGAAATGCGAAGTTCATGAATGTAACGCAAATTAAAACTCGTCAATCATTCTCAAATCATTAGCGACATACATCATTAGCGATTATCGATTGACGATGATCTTCGGTACATACAATGTCCATTATCGATAATTCCGCGGAACAGTTTTTTACGGCCGCGTTCAGATGGAGGCACCAAGGAGATTCGTTATCTTATCCGTCCGTTCCTCTTTGTCTCTTTCCCCTTCTTTTTCCTTCCTTACCTCGCCTCATGACGAGGCGCCTATCCTCATCGCCATTGGCCGCCTCGCCCTTCCTCGCCCTCCCTGCCGCACCGCCCTCCGCCTCCCCGCGCCCTCGCCACCCATCTGCGCCGCCTTCTCTTGCGCGCCGCGCCGCGCCGCACAACTTGAAAACTCTCGCGTCTATCGCCGCGACGCGATGCGCTCGGTTGGAATCCGCGGGATTGTCAATTGCGAGTTTCCCTCCGCCGCGAACGTTACGATCGGCGCGAGTGCGCGTCCCGGCCTACGTACGAGCGTCCGGCGCCGCGCCCCGTCGAGACGCGCGATCGGCGATCGCCGATAAAAAAAAAAGGAGAATATCCACGATCATGCCCCGGTCGCGCGACGGAGAACGACGACCCGCTCGACTCCGTGCCGAACGCCTCGTACGTGCGCGCACCGAGTGAAACGTAAGTGTTTATAAGGGAAGACGCACTCTTCTTCTTTCTCTCTCCCCTGCCTCTCCTTCTCTTGTCTTCTCTTCGCGTTCTCGCCGGTCGGCGCGTCGCACGCCGAAGAAAATTTCAACGAGACGTGAGAGGCTCACGTCTGCGTGGTTCTTGGTACCGGAAGTGCCACAAGTGTCGGAAGTGTCGAAAAGTGCCGGAAGCGCCGAGCGATTCCACACCGAGGCCAGACGGGGAATTCGGAACGTAAATCATAGCGGAGGTGCGTATTCGAGTCTCCTGGATGTACCCCTTTGGGATTTTTTATTTTCCTGCTTTTATGTTACATGACGCTTCAACCGCGTCATTGCTTTTACTTTATCTGTGAGTTATATGCTCGTGTGCGTACGAATGAGATAAGAGAAAAAAACATTGTCTCTTCGTCTATCGGCGATAAATAGAAATACCTTTAAATTGCTTCTCGTAACAATCGAACAGTTGCAATTGTATAAACAATTGAAATACATATAGGTGAACATGAATTTTGTTGAAAAATCTTGAAATTTTATAAATCACAAAAATGTAACGTAATGTCCTTTATTTATGTAGGGAGAATAGTTTGCGAATTTCAAATTTCACAAAGAGGATACATTTATTACCAAGCCTGTTGTATATTTATCGAATCTGATGGAGATGATGTTAATAACGAAAAATGAAGCATAAGTATAACCGAATAGTACAAATTATATATTATTTCTTTATTGTAATTATATATATGATGTCTGTGTAATTTGAAATTTTTTTCGCAAAATCCGTCTGTGAGATTACTAACTCATTGATTATTTGGTTCATATATTTGTGACAATATAGAAAAGATCATTTGTTGATTTGTTGTTGTATTATCTCATGTAACTTTTTCTCAAATTACGAAACCGGAAGTACATGATTCTTTTCCAGTGAAAATTACGTTTGTTACGCTTGGTGCAAATCAATGGGCTAATTAGGCAACGTCATCGGAATGCCATCCGTGAAAGAAAAGAAAGAAAAAAGTCGCTTAACTGTATTTTTGATCATCGCAAGCATTCCGCTGGGACGTGGAAAATAATGATCCCGGCTGTCGTGTAAATTTCTATGCAAATATATCGATCGTTAGACCGGCAGTCAACGTACTTGTGGATACTTGAGTAGAAGTTAAAAGGATCGAGAGAAGAAAGAGGAAAAGCAAGAGAAGAAGAAAGGAAAAGAGAGACGACCTCAACCCGTCGTGTCGATATTTACGTGAATAATTCTATAAATTCTATCGGGTAACAGTATCGATATTACATAGCGAATTTTCTTTTTTTTTTTTTTTTTATTTTATTTATTTTGTTTGCAAAGTCCATCATGTCGGATCACGCCGAATGCCGAACGTTTCCTTTCTTCTTCCTCTTCGTTCTCATTAAAAGGACGTGGCGACGTCGACTCCGTTAATCGTCGAATCGGGCTACGGTTCATCAGTTTCTATTATCTCTCGTATATCACGGTGCAATTGCGAGAGATTCTGGATTCGAAACCTGTTCCATTCCACGCGACTACGCTCGTCCGCTCGTCTCCTCCCCGAGTTCAATGGCATTCGCCACACTTGGGCCACATTGTTACACGGGCATTTTTCTCGACAACGAGCGACAACGCGTATATACGCGAGGACAAAAGGTGTACTTGAATCCCCGCTGTCTCGTCGGTGACGCCACGTGTCTCGCGTGCTACGACAGTGCCGCGAATGTCGAATGATTCGCGTACGAACGTTCGAAAGGACTCCGCGTAGTCGGGAGTTGGCTCCTCTCACAGGTCAGAGGGAATCGCTTAGTATGTTCGGGTAAAATTTTTTTTTATTTAAATAAGTATGTACAGATCGAAGATACATATTTAAACATTACAGATATTTCTCGGTCAAGGGATCTTTGCAGCCTAATAGTCTCTTCTTTGTACAAATCCAAGAACTTTCGCCTTTGCCGAGAATTACGCGTCATTATTTTTACACTCTTGAAACGTAGCGGCGCAAAACCAGAATCATATCTCTTCTCCTTGCTAAATCGACAATTAATTTAATAATACCGTTATATGATTGATTAAAAAGACCCTTAGATATTTATTATAGAAAATATCACTCCGGTTAAAATAGGTGATTTATCTTATATTTTTTTCCAAGGTTTCTCGCATTGCGAACACGCGTCAGAACCATCCGGTATATTACCGCTGATGCGACGGCCTATGTTCATTGCAGATCGTTCCATTCAAGCGGTAACTATAAAGTATAACGGTAAACAGCGAACACCGCCTGTCCGATCGCGTCGCTACTTATGACAGTTTGATATTCCCTGACTGTCGTCGAATAGCATCCGCGTGGAAAATCACGAGATCTCAAACGCGAATTTTCTGGGAGAGCATTAGTTTGGAAATATTTTCACGTCTCTACTTACGATTCTATCGATCTCTCTTTTCCTCTCTCGAACCGTCTATTGTAGAAAGTATCTCGGTTGTCAATAAGAAAGAAAGAGGAGCGGAATTAACAACATGACTTGCGCGCTCATCAGGCTCATCTTTTTTAAATATTTATCCATTGAATATTGTGCTACATCTGTATTGACTTGTGATTTGTTTTTTAGCAGAACTCTGTATGCTGCTTGTATTTAAAATGAAATAGATTATTTAAATAGAATATATATATATATATATATATATATATATATATTGCAAAAGTGAGAGATAGAAGTTTTAGTGCATCCAGTGCAAGAACAGAAACAAATCTGTAGTTTGTAGTTCAATTCGAAGCGTGATGGTGACGATAAGGAATACGTTTTTGCTTTCAGAATGAACGCGAACAGAACTGCGTCGAGCGGATAAACGTGTACGCGGGCGAGGCAGGCAGGATAATACAAGGTTGACCCGAGGTAGAAGGAAAGCGATGGTGGTGGAGTGGTTGTGTCCTGGACTCAGGCCGACCAGGAGCAACAGGCCTCGTCTTCTGCACTGCAAGGTGATACTCCTGGATGAGCACGAATTGCTGCAGGACGTCTTGGTAAATTAAGCTTCAGGATGTTCTTCTACTCCGATTACCTTCGAGCTGATTTTTCTTTAAGTTTATGTGTCCGTTTTTGGCCGTTTTTTTACTCGCTTTATCTCGAATTCTACGGGGATTCTCTAGGGAGAACGGCTATCACTCGTAATAAGGAAACCCCCGAGTGCGTTTGCCGTTCACGAATCGTCGTACGGGAAAAGAGAGGTATGCGGCGGTAACCCTACCGTACCATCCTGCCTACCCTAGTAATTCGTGCGCGTAGCACAAGTTGTAATTTAGTGAATTAATAGCATTTTCTTCCCCAGTTCGTTTCTGGACGGTTGTTTCGTTGCCCCGGACTACTCGTGCCCGGCGGCTACGGTGGGTTATGGCTGACTGTTGGCGGCTCCGCACGAGAGGAGGCGCATACATATCTCAGGGGGGTACTCGGAATTCTTTCGGTCTTCTCTGTTATTAGACGATATGCCAAAATTGGCGGTGGGCCACCGTGGGCACGACGGTGGTAACGCCGTACCTCCTCCGCATCGCCGACGGCCGTGCCGCACACTAATTCTCGCGTCTTTTCAACCTATCTCGATTCCCCCTTTTCCCCCTTCCTCTCTTTCCTTTTTTT